TAAGACAGCACTTCAGTCGATACCGCTGTCCATGCCTCACTCTCGTCAAAGAGGAAATTCCCACTGCAAGTGTCATTGCTACATCAGAGAGTATGTATATTTTAATTCGTGTGGATGTAGCAAAACTTCATTCTCACCCGTGTAGCAAGCAAATATCCCCACAAGGCCTGGACATACGAGGGAAGGTTAATCCTGGCTTTGCGGGTATCACTAACGTTCCCAGGTGGTGCCTCCCCTGCACAGCCAGTCACAGGTGGGAACTGGCTCCAACCCCACTCAGACCTGCTGCCTCCCAGGAGACCGTCATCCTCTTCCCCAAGCACCTGCTCAGATGATTCCCTGGATGAGAAAGGAGGGAGGCTCTGAGAGGGGACCTGGCGGGTGAGGAGGTAAGGGGGCCAAGGTGGAACCGCAAGCAGCCTGACTCACACCCAGCTCTCTGCACACCCCACTGTGCTTGTCAAAGTGGGGAGAAAGCTCCGACACTCTCCTTGTAAAATCGTGTGCTGTTCTGTTCTTTGGGAATAAGTATTAAAAACAAAAATCCTGTGTGGCTGCCAGGCTAGCTTTATAACTGGGAACAGACAGATGCAGTGTCTCCTGAACCTGCTCCTATGAGGCAGGGCCCAGCGCACATAGAAGCACCAGGAGTCCTTTTCTCCCTGTTGCTGGGATGTCGCCCCTTCACTGAGAGGCCTGCGGGAACAGCTCCAGGAAGGGGAGCGAGGACAGAGCAGAGGGGCCGCTGCATCCCAGCAGCACCGGGCACGCCCACTCCTGGCCCAGCAGACTGAGGATGGGGAGGGGGAGGTAGTTCCTCGGGGATGCTGGGGGCCCCGCGTGGACAGAGTTCATGTTCTAGACTGACATGTCAGGAGCCCGTGTCTCCCCCTTGTTGCTACAGGGTCCTAGGCCCTCGGAGGGCACTCCTCCCTGGTCTCGCTTGAAGTCAAGAATCTCAGAGGGAAAAGGGGAGGGTGGTGGTTAGTGTGGGGGCCCCTGAAGGTGGGCACCTGCTCTGTTGTTGGACATGAAACCTCAGGGGCCAAGGGAATTCCTTCTGGGATATGGTTGTGGGGGTGAAGAGACTTTTATTTCTCTCAGCCTCAGTTTTATCATTTCTAAAATGGTGATAATCATGGAGTCTTTCTAGCAGGGTTAGACGGATTTCAGACTGTATGTCTAAACCACCAGCACAGAGTAGCCCACCCAAATGGAGGTGTTCTTTCAAGGCTGTGTCTCACTTCCCTTTGCAGGGCTTACTTGCCTGTAGAAGGACGACAATCACACCAAGTTTGCAGGATGTCCTGAGGGTGCGATGAGCCTGGTGACAGAGCAGCCTTTCAGTGACCCATGGCGTTGTCCCCCCACGCTATGGTCTGCGCAAGTCTCAGTTCCCGCTCGTCCTCAGTGTTCCTGCTAGTCCTCAGTTTCCCCACCTGTGATCTCGGCTGCCTTTCAGGGTCTGT